TATATATATATATCCATTAACATTATGCACTGCAATATGAATAAAAGCTCCCTTTTTTATTCCCCCTCCATTATGTTTAGTTTTTCTGTGGACCATTAAAATAAGTCCGACTGAGTATTCGTGGTCACGGGCATGAGGTGAACAAGGTAGGAGCGTTTGTAAGAAAGATTTTCTCGGCTACGCATGACATCTGAACTCCGCTGGGAGAAATGTAAGATGCAAAACCAAAGGGGTGGCGGGGGAAGAAGAGCAGTCCTGCTTCTGTTGTCATGGCAATGTTATCCATGAGAACGACACAATCCACCTCTGGTCTTTCGTGAGCGGGAAAGGTCAGCGCCGGAAAGAGACTCTCACTTCTGAAGGTCAGCGGGATGCTTTCAAACCGACAGCTCGTGCATCCTGTACGTTCTGCTGTGCATCACCCGTGACTCGCGACGCTTTACAAGCACATCGCACAGGTCCAAAAATAACCGCGTGAAGACCTGGATAATTGACAGTAGGTAGAGTCAACCCATATAAGAGCGGGCATGTTCTTGTTCGTACTCTCTCAAAACATCCTCTCAATGTTAAAGCAAGAATGGTTGTTTTGGGCGGTGGGGGTTGGGTGATGTTGACGACATGGAGATAATAGTTACCGAGGAGTGAGTCACAAGAAGGCTACAGCTACCCACGGATGTTAATATTTCATCCACAGGAAGAACTACAGAGGACTGTTTTGTTTTGGAACAGATCTCAGGAGGAGAGCGGAGGAATTTAATGAAGGCAACTTCCCTCACAAGACTGCTCTTGAGTACCTAGTAGATCTCGTCGATAGGACAAACACGCTTCAATATGACGTTGCGCTCTCTGAGCACAAGTCGTGTCCTTGAGGAAGATAAGTGAGCATCCGTTTCCAACTAATTTTGTTCCTTCATGTTCCTGGCGTCGTATTAGGTTGAGGTTGACATAACTAGACTCCCGTTTATCAGACTTGTTCTAGTTCTGTGTTCACGCGGACCTGAACAATCTCCACCTGTGTCGCAAGATCACGTCGAGAATTAGATTCACATGCACAACAATTTTTTGTGCCCTGAGATGACACGGTTTTCGATTGCCTTTGTTTGATATACTCCTGTAAATGTGATACGTGACCCATGGCTTCAGGTAGCGTAATACAATGGCGACACTTTGCTGGAGAGGTGTTCTGCTTTCGCATCACTGCGCTGTGTCTCCTCCCCCCCACCGTAATGGCATGGATTGAAACCTCTTGCTTCCGCCGTTCTGCCATTGCTGGAATGGTGCTGGGGGGAGGGGATGATTTTGCAGGTAGTCCAAGAGGCAGGAGCGTGTGTAAGAGAACGCCGGGATAGGGGTGTGAAGTATTTTTATTCGCCCCCATCGGACGATGCGTTGAATTCTTAATATGCCGCAAGATGGGGCCAAAGCCTTGTATAAATAGGAAAGTAGTACGGTAATTGGTTTTGGGAAGTATGTTGACATGATGCACCTCAAGTGAGAGACCAGCTTTTTATGTTACGGAGGAGCGATTAAAAAAAAAAAAGTTCAGGTTTTTGTGGCATTAAAAGAAATGTTACTAAATTGAGGCCACACATTATCAATGAATCTTATTTTTCTCACACCGTGGCCGTCACATTTAAACCATGAGTCAGGGTTCATGTTGGATGCAGCTCTGAGATCCCCATTGTTTTGCACAAAGCCAACCAATACCTGCATGTGCTCACACACACACACACACACACACACACACACACACACGATCAAACAGGAAGAACCAGAAGAAGTGCGGCCTCGCGACTGACTCATTGTTGACATTCCACATGACTAGTAGACAGTCCCACAGCACTGTGAACTGCCACTGTGATTTTTTTTTTTGAAACCTCTTACACACATGTCAAGGAAACCACAAAGAGACCGGTGAGAATGCGTTCTCATCAATCGAGGCGAAAAACAGAGCGATCCGGTTTGATTTTGCCATTGGGCACAGCAGCTGACAGCCTTCCCTCCTCGCTTTTGTTGTGGCTTTATCAGCACATGTGGATATTACAGCAGCCATTTGTCTTTGGCACTTTGCTTTATTGCTCTCCCCCCTACCGGAGAGCAGACAGCTTCTACACAGCGTTGGTCCCAGGGGGGAACCCCGCTCGGCACACGTACACACACTTTCTGCCCGCGCCCCCGTCGCATCTCCTCCGTTTCTTCCGCACTCTGGACGTGTGAATTCCAGCAGAGTGAGGAGGAAGCGAAAGAGGCGACGCCAATGGGAAGACCGTTGACAGGAGCAGGGCCGTTAACGAATGGCGGTGGAGTGGTCGCTCGTGACATAATTAGATTTAGCGCCGTGCTTACATCAAAATGCGGTTGTCGCGGTTATCCTTGACATCGACACTCTCTCCTCCGCTACTGCACCTACACGACGGTCTATCTCCGTGCTTGTAATTAATCTCTAATGACGTCCTTTTCATCCGTGTGTATTTTTAGACGTTTTCCCCATGGCTCAGTGGTGCGTGGAAATGCGTGTGTTTCTGTGACAGCGCGCCAGCCGCTGGATTCTTAATAGAATTCCCCACGACAACACATGCTTATCTTGTCGTCACATGTAGAAATCCCCTCCTGAAACACGTTGACTTTCTTTCATGTTCTTAGAATCCACCAGTAGGATGAAGCTTAGCGAGAGCCTCCGTTGAGGAATAAGCTGGTCTTAATCACGCAGCCATTCTCCTCCAGTCTTCTCTTTCAGGTCTGCTAAACAGCAGAGAGGCAATAAATCTGAAGGAGACACAATAGAATCGCTAGAGGGGTACCTATGGCTTTTGTGCAGATGAAATACGCTATGGCGGGCTATGCAGCGGAAGAACTCGAAAATGTTACAACGGTCTAATAGTTGTTATTGTTTCCAAAGAAGGATCTGCCCCAAAGAGAACAACAATCTACACCTGCGGTGACATGAAATTTTCTGACTCAAATGCGATCCATTGAGCCCAGAAATGAGCGTCTCGAGCCAAACAAAAAGCTGAAGGCATCGGGAAGTACGCCGCCGACATTAGGTACCGGTGCTAGTGCTACTTTGAGGGTGGCGCAGTGGTTAACTGATCTGATGAACAGTGTATTAATGATTTAATTTCAAACATTTGAATGACCGTGATCGTTTCAAAAAAAATTTGTTTTTTAAATGAGGAGCATCTGTGACGTGACCGATTCCGCTCATTTGTCATTGAAGACTTTGTTGAGCAAGCAATGTGTTTTGGCATAGTACAAAGTAACATTACAGTGCTTAACCACTTTTTAAAATAAAATATAAGGATGTTCAAGTGTCAATTACAACATAAGGCCCGTAAAAGTTTCTAAAGCTTTTATGACGCCCGCAGTTAAAAATAGTGCGCAAGGTAGAAGAGTGCAATTCAAGTGAAAGCATCGATTCCATCTTTTAACATGATAATACAGAGTTAATGAGAGGGAGGCTGACACGATCAATTCCATTTTCATCCGTAAAGCAACCCCAATAATCCACCCTCTCCCCTCTCTTCCTCTCATTTCCCTCATATTCGGATGCTTTTTTTTTTTTTTTTTGGTGGCTCAGGGGAATTCATTCGTTATCACGACGCGGGCGCTAACAGGATTTGGGGTCAGAGTGGGTGTTCATCCCTTGATGAATGAGGAGAAAGTGGAAATCGGATCATCTGCAATAAAAGCTGATTTATATCCACGTCGCGCACGGGCGGGGCGATGTCTCCTACCTGCTCGGAATGCATCCGAAAATACTCATAGAGCAGTAATCGGATTTATTTGCTAAAGTGAGATGAAGAATTGCCATTGCTCGTTCCCGAGCGTGCGGGCGCTCCTTGCCATTTCCACGTCTGCTAAAAATAGCACGCTCATTAACACAATCGACACCTCTTAAACAGGTAAAGCTATGAAGGAGAGACGCGGTTTAACATGCACACTTTGTCAAGGGGCCACCTACGCACTCGGCTGTTGAACAGCGAGGGAGGAGACAAAGAAGAAAAGAACCTCTTTGACAAGCGTGCACACCAACAACCCTTCTGATGAACGGGTCCTTAACCTTGATGCTTTTGTTATGTGTTGCTTTTACCAAATGGGGAAATTGTTCTCCTATACACCTTGTGGGGAGAGACGGGAGGCAAAACAACAAAGCAAACAAAGAGAAATGACACAGGAATGCAAATAAAGCAAAAAGAGAATGCGGCGTGTGATCCAATGTCCGGTTTGTGCCTATGGATTTATTGAGCCCAGCGCAAGCACAGTACAGACGGAGCCTAAAGCCCCGCAGGGGTATCGTGGGGAGAAGTTGTCTGTTCCCGCACGGTGGCTCTGCGTTGTTATTAGCAAAGCCCCTCCACCCCGGAGGAAAACCATTCACTCTCACATGGCTGCATGAGGAGACAAAGAAAAGGAGCGAGGAGTTCAAACGCAGAGCTGATTCAGCCGAGCCATCCCATCGATGTGTGAGAATCTGTTTTTGCACGGCGAGGAAGTTAGCCTTTTGCCCACGCAAAACGTACCAAACAGCCAGACACCAAGCAGGAAATGTGCAGACAGCCTGGATAAAGAACGCATTGACTCTGTAGTGTGCTTGAGTCACGTCTGATATTCTTGGACGACACAAAACCTTGAACGACAGGTGCTGCAGAAAGAACGAAAGGGAGCGAGCGCGGTAGAAATTTCTCTTTAGCCTTGTGATGTGAAAGTGTGTAAATGCAATGAGCAAGTGGCAGTGAAGTACCGGGAGCGTGGGGGAGGGAGCGCTGGCAAAAAAGGATGGTTTTGGTGGAATAGTGGTAGGGGAAGAAAAAAAAGGGGGGTGGGGGAATGGATTCAATTGGCTGTCTAAAGAAAAGATGGTGTATAGTCTGGAGTGGGAAAGGTGCTGCTCTAAACAGATGTAGAGACTGAGAGGTACACTGTTCACTTTTTGGATGTGAAGTCAAATCAAACAATTGCCCAAACATTCAATTTTCCATGAAAAACTGAATTATTTCCAACAGCTACCGACATGAAATGCAGAGAAAACAAAAGGCATGAAAGTTGACAAATCACTATAACTGTTACATTATCTCCTATGTTTTTAACTGTGCTAGAATCGATCGCTTTTGCTAACAAATTATAATAAACATTTAGCAAAAATAAATAAATGAAAAAAAATCGGAAAATGGACAAAGGTCAGAATGCCACGAGATTAGGTAACTTATATTTGTCGTATCCAAAAAAGGCGAGCTTTGAAACCAGATTTATAGTTCGTTATACACATATATAAAAATGCTCATTGTCAAATATCGTCTTTTTCATTCGATTAAAACTGAACGTACAACTGACGTTTATGTTGGCAAACAGTAAGCAATGTGAAGAAGATTTCCTCATCACATTCGTAAAATGTTAAAAATCAACGTATGACAGTCTATGACGATCACACGACGGTAAAATGTATTTGAACCACCTTCTACTATTGACACACAGTTTGGGTTTTTTTTTTTCGCTTGGAAATCTTTTCCATTTGCGATATCCGTGTGTATGTTCTACGTTCAGCAGCTCGCTTTTTTTCGTCCACATTTGTGCCGTCCGTCTTCCAGGTATGCCAAAGTAGCTTCTTTTCGCACTCTTGTTTGCTGGGTCAATTGACAAATTATTCACGTCAGCGCTATCTATACTCCATCCCCTTCACCTCATTATTAGTCTCTTTTTTTCCTTGCCCCTCCTCCTCCTCTTCCACCCTGTCCTGTCCTACAAAATGACCTTGAAGGTCACACCGTTGTGCACCCTGACAGCCTGTCTCACCTGCCAAGTCACATGCGCACACACGCGCCCGCGTAGCATCCATCCTGCAAGTTGCTAAAGAAACAGACTCCCGACCCCCTGGTGGCTTTGCTGGCAGAGATCCGCTGAATTGATCGTTGTTCAGACATTGCAGAGGTCAGACATAATGAATCAATCGCGCGTGCATCAGCATCCCCCCGGCTTGCGCAAGCCAAGGCCGCAGGCGACCACACTTTGATGCGGTGTCAAATCACACATCGGCGCGCCGTGCCGATATTGGCAAAATGAAACCAACAGCAAGGCACTCCACGTGGCATCTGTTGACAACGCGTAGTTCAAACGAACCCCCGGACGCACTCTTTAGTGTCGTCTTTAGGACCGATTTGGATCAGATAGTTCTGCGGTGCAAGAATTGCAGTCCAAAATCAGAAGCGCTAACGAGCACGAGTGCCCTCCTTTTGTGCACGCGTGCAGTTCAAGGACAACCTGACCGTCAGACGACACTCTCTCGGGAGAAGAGGCGGCCAGCTGTGGACGACACGATGCCCTCATTGTGCTTACCTTTAGTTGACCCAACCCCTCCCCTTCCTCTTCGCATGCCCGCAGCACCAGCAGTATCGGTCTTAAACACACTTCATGCAGAAACTAACTGAAAGCTGCTTTGGATTGGACATGGCCGTTTGTTTATAGAAAAGCCCCCCGACGAATGGCAGTTGTGGACCAAAATAGAAAAGGTGTTCCCAAATGAGAGCTGAATTATTCATATCCGGCGCATCCGACGCGAAAAACACTTCATCTGGAAAGAGTTAAGTCAGCACCACAGTGTGGCAATTTTTTTTTTCTTTTTCAAAAAAACCAAGGCCCTTTGTTTATACGTACGCAACGATGCCAGAGATTCCGCTTACTAATATTCCCCCCCCTCCGGTGTCATCCCCGTGTGCGGTGGATCATCGCAGCAGTTCAACCTCAAGCTCGGATCAAAAAACCACGACCCTTTGTTTATACGTACGCAACGATGCCTGAGATTCCGCTTACTAATATCCCCCCCCTCGATGTCAACCCCGTGTGCAGTGGATCATCGCAGCAGTTCAACCTCAAGCTCGGATAATCTTCGCGTGATCATTCGCGACTTGACCTGCTGCATCTATCACGGCGGCCCGTCTGACCTCACGTCACTCCACTTTTACGGTCCCGTCTGCGGCTCCAGTTACTCACGTCAACACAAATAACCCCCCGACCTTCTCGTACGACAGCTTGAAATAATCACAAATCCTTGTCGTGTAAATTCGTCAGCCACAGGACACCGATTCGATGAACAAACTAATCAACGCAGACCTTCTCCAACCGTATCGTAATAGCAAAAGCTATTCACGGCTTACCGTCTTATGCCGCTGCCACCAGGAACACGCATGTGACTTGCACTCTCTCTCCTTCTGGCTATAATGGTGCTCAGGGAGAGATGCTGCGGACAGGAGGAGGAGGAGCTGATGGTGCTGATGCTGCAGCCACTCCTGGCAACGTGTCAGAGTACCAGATTTTCTGTCTCTGCATCACAGCGCCCCCTGCTGGATCTTGTCCAGCATAGACGTTGATGAACACGGAGAAAGCTTTTACCGGTATTCCAGTCTTGGGCCAAACTTTTATTGAGTCAAGGCAGATACGATTAAAATCACATTTTCTTCTTCATAGTTACAATTTCATTTTTGGAAGATTTCAACTGTATACTCATATACATCGACGTATTCATACTACTTTCCAGTATGGTGCCAATAATAATTCAATTCTTTGAATTATTATGAATGAATATGAAATGTGAAAATATAATATAATGAATCAATATGATTTAGCTCATGACATTATTTAGTCCTCGTTTTTGTTTATTTATGTATTTCTTTTGTGTGCATAAGTGGATGCGGAAGGTGTTGAAACGGTGACAAAATGACGAATGCATTGTGATAAATTACCAAATGCATCCCGGCCGGTCCACTAATTGAAGACAAAATGAAGTCTGCGGTCATTCAAAGAATGGAAATATTGTTTTATTCTTTCAGACAAAGAACCAGCAAACATGCACAGTTCAAGGAGTTTATTATTACTGTACAACACGTTTTATTTTTTTACTTTTTTATTTTGCATCTCCTTGTAAAGATTAGATGAGGAACAGAATTTAAGGCCTTAGCTACACACACCCACACCCTTTCAATTCTCAACAACGGTCCTTTGCTAATATGTACAGTAATTCTTATGACAAGTGAATTCGGGGATTTTGAATAATCCCGAGGTCACAAGCTACTGTGTATAAAAAAAAAAAACACCTGTAGCTGTACAAGACAAAACCCACTGTAACCAAATCATCTGCCGACAATTTATACACCGGACATAGAAAATAACACACCACTCCCGCATTTACAAATAATTTACTTGCTGTAATATAAACAAACAAAAAAAGAATTATATACATGTTCTTTAATTATATTCTGTAAATAGTCAAACGACTTTGTTGCACAGGTGACCGCGCAGAACACACTGTAAATAACTGATCTTAAAAATAAGACCTGAACCATAACCTAGAAATAGTTGCGGCAACTGTAAATGTTACGACAATTCACTCATTCAAACTTGAGAACAAAATGCTGGTTTGTTGATTTGGATCCAATTCTTTTGGAACTGAAAAAAAAAAGGCCGTTATGCTGGGGACATGGATAGAATCATACCAAACCGGGTTAAAATCTAGAATGAGGTAAATAAAAAAAATACTGTATATAAAAAAAAAAATAAAATAAAATAAAATCCAAATGATGCGCTGTTTCAACGTTATGTTTTGCAAATAAGCAATGTCATAAGGTATTGGTTCCTAAAGGACACAGCAGCCAGCACTGTGAAAACGTTCACGCAGTGCTCAACACTCGTCATCGATTTATCAATTCTATCCGAACTACGACTACTACTCGTGACCTTATTTTGTGACGCCGGATCTTTTTGTATGACCTGCATCCACCGCTGCGCTGCTTTCCCAAACAGGTGCGGCCGTTTGCGCCGCCACTGAAGGACATCAATACGATTAGAGATGAGCTATTTGTGTTGAGAGTGTACTGCCAGAAGAAGGGAGAACATTACAACATCACTTACATAAGTGTCTGCGATTCTAGAACGTACTGGTGCATGCCAAGAAATAAATTCCCGTGAGTAAGGATCGCTTTTTACTGTCGCGCGGTAGGAAATATTATTACACCTCTTACAGTCACGGTAAGGCATGTTACAATGCACTTGGGTGACAAGATGGTCCTTGGACATGTCCACTTTCCCGACCCAAAGAAAGTATGGCGTTGGCATTTTAAAATCATCTGGGATTTCGTTGCGGAACAGATGTCACAAAATTGTCTAAAATAAGTTGGAAAGCAAAAGTAGTTGTTTCAATATTCAATGGAAAGTAGGCCTATCAAAATTGCATTAATATCACGAATGTATTCCAAGTTTAATTTACATTCTGTCGTTGTCTTGCTGAAAATAACTCCAAATGTAGAGGAAGTGTAATGTCGAACAATTCCGAGCCCAAAACATCACAAAATTATTTTCAAAAAGCGTTTTTTGGGAAGTAACTCGTCCAACACTGTCTACGCAAAAGTAACATTGTTTTCATTGTTAGGGAATAAAAAAAGTTGGCGACGACGCGTTTGAAAACATAATCTGACTCCGACGAACAAAATATAACGGTCACCCGGGATTTGAGAACGGTTCCACGGCAGCAGCAAGCTATGTAAGACAGCTGAATTCTTAAACGTCAGCAAAATGTGCAGCTTCTCAATTCCTGTGTTTGAATGTGAGAGTTTTAACATTCATTTGAGTGAACGCTACTCTAACAGTTACTTGAAGGACTGGGAGATATCCTGTCCAAATTACACCGCGAGACCGTTGCCAGGCCAGGTCGCCGTGTAGGCCCAACAACGCTCCCTTACAACAAGTCTCCGTCATCCTCTTCCCTGACCTCGATGCCCTCGTTAAGGAAGGCCTCCTTCTCGGGGGTCGTGGAGACCGAATCGCGATCGCGCTTGAAGCCGTTCATCTCCGTGTCGGGGGATGAGCGAGCGCCTGCCGCCTCGGCGCTGTGATGGATGCCGTAGCAGAAGTAGATCAGAAAACCTGCCGGAAAACAGATACAAAAAAAAAAAAAAAATGAAAGTGGAATCTGCCCTGAGGTTCCGGGCTGAAATTCTGCACTGTCAAAAATTCGTAATAAAATCAATCTGACTTTGTGATTGAGAAGATTTTTAATTATTTTTGGCATGTTGGGAAGGAGAGCTCAGTCAAGGCTTTGCCGCACATGTATGCTTTTGCTCAGCTGAGTGGCTGATCAAAAAGCTCAAGGTAACAAACGACGGGGGCCTCTTTATTGCTTGATAGCACGACAGGATTTTTTTTTTACGGGCTGCCGTGCCGCCCCGTGCGCCCGCCCGCACAGGATGCATATGCTGGAAACGGCCACCGCTTACGCCCACGCCTACTTGCCAACAGTAAGACACCGACTCCTCGCCATAGATCTGTTTACCTAAAGCCATCCAGATTGAGAACCGTATCCAAGTGCCCCTATCCAGCTGCATCATCAGGTAGACGTTAACAAACATGCTGATCACCGGAAGAATAGGCAGCAGCGGGACCTACGAAGCAAAAGATGACAGAGGGAGGGACAAGTGTCCAGGAAGTCTGGTTCATTTGACCACGTGCTAATTTGCGGCGGTGTAAAGAGAACAAACCTTGAAAGAAAGGCTGGTTTTGCTCTGCGGCTGTCTCCCGACAATACAAGTAAGGAGGAGGCACACGATGAAGATAATACTGAGGACTACAATGTTCCACGAAGCTGAGCCTCCCTGGACTGCCAGTGCGCTGAATACCAGGATCAGCAGGCCTGCATAGCAACAAAAGAGTGTTGTTAAAACGTGAATGCCTGTCATATCGAATCTGAATGATAAATGTCCGGGTATGTTTCGATGTTGCTCGATATCAGATCGTTTTTTTTTTTTTTTTTGGGGGGGGGGTATGCAGATTTGCTTCATAAATGTCTGCATGAAAATATTTTTCAGTTATCAATAGTAGTCAGTAAGACCCTAGGACAGCGGTTCTGAAACTGGGGTCCGGAATTTTAATTGTGTGTGTGTGTGTGTGTGTGTGTGTGTGTGTGTGTGTGTGTGTTGTTTTTTTGTAATGGTTATGGTGAAGTCGGTGGCCCTTTGGTCGAGTGGTTAGTGTGTCGACCTCACAGTACAGAGGTCGTGGGTTCGATTCCAGCTCTGGCCTTCCTGTGTGGAGTTTGCATGTTCTCCCCGTGCCTGCGTGGGTTTTCTCCGGGTACTCCGGTTTCCTCCCACATTCCAAAAACATGGCTGATTGGACACTCTATGTCCCTAGGTATGAGTGCGGATGTTTTTTGTCTCTGTGTGCCCTGCGATTGGCTGGCAACCGGTTCAGGGTGACCCCTGCCTAGTGCCCAAAGACGGCTGGGAGAGGCTCCAGCACCCCCCCGCGACCCTTGTGAGGATAAGGCAGATCAAAAAATGGATGAATGGATGTTAATAAGTTGTTGGAAAAGTGGCTAAATATAGAGTAGTAGGCAACATTGACTGCTTTTGTTAAACTAGCTCCTCTCTGTTCACAGCCATGTTGTTCGTGGAAGCAGTGCATGCTAGCGAGCAACAATGGCTAAATATTGAATTAAATGTGATTGCATTTGGTTCAGCTCCTGTCAATAAGGCAGGTCAGGAATATTAAGATTAAAAAGTTGAAAAAGTAAATTATTCCCCAGGCATTTAGGATAAAGAGGGGCTACTTGGCGGAAAAAAAAAAAAAAAATCTTGCCTATTAGAAGTCGCTGGACCCATGAAGTTTCAGAGGCCCTGCCCACTCAATTATTGTGTTCCAGCTGTCAAATGTTTCCACCTATAGTTAGTATGAAAGTAGGTCAGGCGCATTCGCATACCCATAATCGAGGCACAGATGTTGACCGTGAAGCCCGAAAGGGAGGTCGGATTAGGGTTGTCGGGGAAGAAGAGAGTCTTTAAGCGGAACCTCTCCTCCACACCGGGTAGCATGCCCATACTGCCGTCGCTCTGCTCCATCTCCTCCTGCATATTGGCCATCTGATACATCGCACTGGGCTGCTCGGGCTGGTACCTGGCAATCAAAAAGGCAGCGCCAAGCCGAATTCAACTTGGAATTAGCTGCAAGAAGCGGTGTCCGCATAGCAATACGCTGTCGCGCTGCAACGTTAGCGGGTCATAAGCCTGCTTATGAGTACTGTCAATCATAATGTCGGCACACGCAGTTCAAGTCAGTCGTAATCTGTGCGGGCAGTATAAAAGATGATGAGGTGTGAAATTACATTCAGTATGGATGCGGGGCTCAATTTCAATGGTTGCTTGAGAGCAGACGTGGCAGTGTCAGGGTGGCGACCGTACTGATGAAGCGCCGATTGGTCGTATTACTTGTTACTTCTACTCATCACACGGGGGCAAAATACGCGAGACTGACTTTGACAGTCAACTATGTCCCGCTCGTGTGACAAATGTCGCCGAATGGACTGATAGAAGCACCTATTGTTGATTCTTGTGTGAACAATTCTGACGGTGTTCCACTCACCTTAGTACCAAGACACAGGCAGCCAC